ATTGGCGCGAAAATCGCTTTTTGGAGGATCGCCATTATGAAATTCCCTGATTTTTCCAGATTTTGACTAAAATAGTTAAATTCCCTGACTTTTGGTCAATTTTTGATTTCCTTGACTTTTTCCAGTTTTCAGGTAGCGTGGCAACCCTGATTCAAGGAAATACGTTTACATAAAATGCAGCTAAAAAAAAAAAAAAAAAGGTGTATAATTTAATAGGTCGTACAAAGAAATCATGTGGTGTCCACATTAGATTTAATCATTTGCAGACACACACATACGTATCAAGAGCATTTGGGCTAAAAATACTTAAAATCAACATATCTTTAGAATTTCAGATAGACAGTCTCCCATGCCGGAGATAAAATTATTTTATTTCCTACAGTGTTGCCACTGCTCGCTTTGATACTGTTGAGTTTTTTTCACTCAAAAATCCATTAAAAATTTACAAAATTTGAAATAGACAGTAAAACAAATTCCAAATTCGAGCTACCAGGTGACCATGTTTGGGTACAGGATTAAAAATTTGATGCACTCTAGGATCTACAGTTTTTTCACAATGCAAGAAACATACCTCAATTCATGCAGATTCTTCATTATTTAGTTTCTTGAAATGTAATATAGGGCGATAATATTTGATGGCGACATTCTAAAAAGTGCTACATCGCATTTAAGTGATTCAATGCAAAATGCTGTTTCGAAATTGGGCTCAAAATTTAGTGTTTTTTTACAAAACCTACAACTTTGGAACAATTTATGCTGAAAAATAAATAATATGTTAAAAAAATTGCACGTCATTTCAGAAAATCCCAATTTTGCATCAAAATATATATTAGAACAATACTATATATAAATGTTGTGTATAATTTAAGTAATGCGTCTCAGAGATGAAGTATTTTGTCGATCACTCTATTAGAGGGAGTTATACAAAACTTTCCATCTCCCTTCTTTTTTTAACTCTCTGTACAACAAGGCGGAGGGACACATTTTTTTAATTGCTATACCCCAGAAAAGTTGCCAATCACCTAACTATGCAGAACAAAGAAAAAAGGTTTTCATATAAAATCATATCTTCCATTCCTGCATCGCACATAAAATCTTACAAGAAAATAATAATAATAATAATAAATAAATAAAAATGAATGTTGTTTTTTGCCAATTTTTTATAATTACTAAACTCATTACTATTGAAATGCTATCGTTCCTAATATGAAGTTTGTGGCACAACATCAACTATCAGCATGAGCATTAAAACCTGTAAATTCAAATTATTTATTGTTTGTGCAAGAAGCTAAAAAAATGCAATTTTTTTGTAATTTTACTTTTCATTTTTGTAAATAAACAGTGAATATATTTATCATTTTTAATTCTGTACTCAAAAGAGTGCAACTTCTAGTTAGATTTTGGGACAAGTTCTGGTACAACACATCTTCATCTTATGGGTAATCCTAAATCAAGCCATCCACTATAAGTTTGACACTCCATTCTACAGCCTGGATATCACAAGTTTTGGAAATCTGGTTGCATTGGTATGCCAATTTAAAATACACTTTTATGCCCTCATCTTTAATGTCCCCATATAGTATGGGAGGGCAAATATTGTAAGTATTTCCCCAAATCAGGCTTATGTAGTCTGTTGCTTTGAAGTTGAGTTTTGGTATGGTAAATTTCCAAATCGTCATTCTCAGAAAAGTGATTGAGCTTTCATCAATTGGTACAGCCTAGTCCTCTGATACATCTTTTTTTCCTCCACAACCATTGCAAAGATCAAATTTTTGGGATGAGCAAAGGAAGCATTCTGCTTAAATACTGGGTTGATGATTTGCAGTAAATTTTGAGTTAAGTATCAGTGATGTTCTGATGGCTTTAAAAACTTTCTTTGAACCACCTGTGAAATTTTTGCTAGCTTTGATTCTGAACCAGACAAGCACGTAACAATTCAAAATAAAATTCATAAACTACCAGATTTTATTAGAAGCTTCTTCTAAACTCATATGAGAACTTGATTTGCTAAAGCAGAATAGGAGTATCAACTGCTAAATCTTCTACGACTATACCTGTCTTTACAGCAACAGAAACATCAAGTAAATATAATTGATCTTTGCTCAGCAGTTTCCTGCCAGCTTGAGGAATGGAGCATTTAACAGGTTCAAAGTGAACCAGTGGAAGTTTCACACAGGCAGTAAGGTTCTTCCTGATCAGTCCATTGAAGGATTTGAGTCCCATGATAACATCATCCAAGTGATAAAATAGTTGAGAGAACTGCAGTTCATTAAAGTGCAGAAGTCATGGTCTACCAATGTGTGATTCAATCTGTTAGACAAACACCCTTTTTCAAACAATTAATAACAGTTCCATCACTCCCTATCACATCAAGTTCTTCAAGATGAATCTCACATGCAATAAAATAGGAAATTATATAGCAGAAGTACTTGCTGTATATAAATCTAATATATATCTAAATTGTGCTTTAGAGACATGAAAAACGCAGTTTTAATTTCGTCAATCGGCCCAGTAGAACGGAAGATACAGAACTTCCCTCCCCTTTCTTTGTGCGCAGTGTACCTTGAAAGATTTTGAGGAAACTCTTTAGAAGAGAGTAAAACATTCTAAAAATTGCCAGCTTTCTTTCCTTTGTCAAAAGCCAATAATTATTTGTTATATTTTTAAACTGATTTTCCAAAAAAAAAAAAAAAAAAAAAAAAAAGAAGTTCTATGCTCTTAGAAACATTTTCAACATTGGCCATATTTTTATATAAATTGAAGAATTTTATGTTTTTGATGTTCTAGTTGTCACTGTGTTTGAAAACTTTTCTGAAGCAATGCCCTATGGAATCTTCGAATCAAGCTGCAGATTAGTCACTTTGTAAAATTTTGCAAATTAGTTTCTGAAATTTCATATATTCTATATATAATGAAATCCTCCCCAGAACGCACAGTTCCAAACAATTTTCATTTTTTGTTGGTTAAGTTGATAGATGACTGACGTAATTGAGTTTTTGTCCAGATGAAAAAAATTCTTCGTTAGGGACGACATAACTCTGTGCATATGTTGGTTGAAGCGGTTGCCCTAAAAAAATGAAGCTTTATGAAAAATATTTTATTTTTTATATTGGACTCAAAATCACAATTTCAGTATCTTAAGTTAATAAAATGTAATATTGCCTCAATATGTTTTGTAACTTCACAAATAATAGCAAATAAAAACACAAGCATTAAGTAATGTATTCTTTTTAAACAGATAAACACTAGCGTAAGTACCCTGATGCCAGTTAGATTGAGAGTACCGTATCTAACAACAGAGAGAATATTTCTCTAATAACTGTAATACTGTAATCCTTCTCTAATAACAATGCAAAAAATACGATTCATTGTCACACATTTTTTAGTCAGATGTGATATGGAACCCACATAAAAAATTTGCATAGAAAAATAAACTAATTCTCTCTCATTATATCAGCAACAATGGCAGGCAGTTTTTAATGATTTTCATATTTCTAATCAAATGGTCGTAAAAGTTCAAGTTCCATCCAATATTTCAGCTATATTCAATTTTAGTTGATTAAATGTGGGAAAAAATTTATCATAATTGATCAGAAATCAATAACGCAAACAAACACACATTCTTCTCTATATACATAGCTTTCCTAAAACTTACAAATTTTTTGTTAACAAACTTTACAATTTGAAAGCGAGCAGTAGCAACACTTTTTGAAATAAAGCATTTTTATCTCCAATGCACGAGTATGTTGCCATACGAAAAAAATGAGTGCAAAAATCAGTGTTTTCAGAGCTTTTAATTACTATCTCAGTTGATTAAAGTCGTACGAAGATGGGAACAGTCAAAATGGCTTCCCATGAATTTTTGGAATCGGGAATAACGTGTTTAATGTTTGGCAATGCTATTTTTATTTCATTGTAAAACTTAGAAATTTTTTATTAACAAACACTACGATTTCAGAGCGAGCAGTGGTAACACTTCTCAAAATAAAGCAGATTTTTATCTCCAGCGTGTGCAAGACTGTTGCCATTCAGAAAAATGAAGGAGAAAATTAGCGTTTTCAGAGTTTTTATTTTATTTTATTTATTTATTTATTTTTTTTAATGGATACTGACTTTTCCAAAACCCATAACAGAATAGTAGAAAGTTTGGTGGCAATAGCTATAGTAGTGACTGAATTAATCGCGAACAAACACACAAACACTAATTCTTCTTTATATATATCGATAATCTTGTAAAGATTTGTAGGAAAAAATACAAACAAATTTGTAGCAAAATATTGCTATTTTTACTAAATAAAATATTGCTTTTTGAATGAAGAATAAATAAGTTGAAATTATGAGTTTTACTTTATTTTATGCAACTGTGCGTTCCTCATGTCCCAAACTTCACATTAGACCCTACTGCGTTTGAACAATGATATGTTTAGTAACTATAAAATATTAACAAAAAACATCAAAATTTTACCCATTCTCAAAACTTTGAGCGAGATGTAAAAACAGAAGGTATATTTATATATATATATATATATTTTTCATATATAGCTAGGTGATATAAAAATTTGTCAGGATATAGCAATAAAATTTTTTTTTAAAAAGTGTTTTTTTGGCCATTCTACCATACAAATACAATAATACTTTTAATCTAAATATCATACCTATCAATATTAAAAATTCCTTTATTTTGCATTTAGTCTCAAATAAAAATAAAGAAATGATTATACATGAAAAAAATTTTTAATGTAAATAATAAGTTGGCAGGGAATTAGCTTCTCAAATTGAATACTACCAAAATTAATTGAGACTTCATGCTTTCAGTAATTTAAATCTATATTAAATTTAAATTATAATTTAAATCCTTTCTAGTTGTAGCTAATCAATTTTCAGTGCTCCATAAACTGTTGGGTACATATTGTTAATTTTCCATATTACAAATACACTGCTGAAAACCTCCAAATAAAAATCAATGGAAACATCTTTAGAGTTACATTTGTGATCCATACCTCAAGCAGTCTATCTCCAGGTTGCAGGCGACCATCTTCAATAGCTGCACCTTTAGGAAGAATATTTTTTATATATATAGGAGAATTACCACCTGCAGGATTATCTCTTGTTGTTATGCTAAAACCTAAACCTGCCTGCCCTGAAAATATATTAATTTTCAGATTACAAAATAATTATTACATTACAATAGTCTTAATTCTTCATAAATAATAATAATAATAATAAATAAAATAAAAAAAGATGCTATGTAAAGATCCTAACAGTTTTCCCTCTTATTTGAATTAACTTGTAGACAGATCATGTGAAATAAAGTATATGTATTTTCATTTCTTTAAAACTGTTACAAAAGTTAATATCACAGCAAACTCATGAACTTGTGTATACTTGCTTAGCAGCCATATTTTTAACCCAGAGTGGCATGACAACTTTTATCTGGCTATGAGATTTTTTGACATTTGGTGTACATTATGTGTTAAAATATTTTGTCTTTTCTTATATGATCCAAATATCATTTTTAGGTCATATTAATATACATTATTTTAATGAAATTTATTAAAACAGATTAAAATAATTCAATATACAAATTTAGATAAGAAATGATGATTAGATATATTTCTTAATGAGTAGATCCCAAAAGTTATGTCACTTGAAGAGTTAAAATTCATTTATATGAAGTACATAAAAAGCATGTTTCCCAAATGTATAATTCATAATCTTTTTTATGGTTCAATAGAGAATGATAAAAAAAATTAAAAAACATAGATTGTTGTTTGACTTCTGAATTAGTATAGATGGTGTATTATGTCCCAGAAACTAAAGTTTTTAAAAATCTGATTACTGGTCTTGAATCCTTGTTATAAGACAAAAAAAAAATTAAATTTCAGTATGCTATCTGCTGACTAATACTAAATTATTTTACTTATAACAATTTAAAGCAATTATTAAATAAGTAGCTAAAATTAATAGAAACAAGATGGATCAACTTACCTTTTGTTAATTCAATTGTTAACATTTTCCCTATTTTTCTGGTATTTGCTGAAGCAATTCTACGAGTTGCAGAAGCTGGAACTTTTTTTGTTGGCGTAACAGTTGCAACTTTAGTACTCACTCCACCAGCTGGAAAATTTAATTTCAGATAAATTTTATGTAAAAAAAAAAAAAAAAAAATCAAGATTCATTAAGCAGTAAATACTTATTACATTGTGTGAATCTAAGAAAGAAATTAATAAGTCTGGGAAGAAACTTCGATGGTTTCTAATATCCCTTTATACAATTATAAATAAAGTCAATAGTTTACCTTCAGTATTTCCTATACAAAACTTAAATGGTTGAAAAAAGATGATTTTGATTGGTTCTTATATTTTAGGATATAATTTTGTATTTCTCAGAAATAAATGAGGATCAAACACAGAAAATATTACTGCAAATTAAAAGGAACAATTAGCAACAAAATTCAATTACAACAAAATGAATGCACCAAAGAACAAATGTTGCAGATACTAAATACAATTAAGATATTCAGAGGCCATTCAGAGAACAGGATCATTTCAATAAGCATTTGGTTATTATATTCTTAACCCTCTGAACGTTACGGGTTTGGGCCAGAGATTTCGAAGCTCATCAAAATGTTATGAGCAAGTAATATTTTCTTGATTAAAATTCCAAAATGAACATCCTGCATGACACTCGACTTGTCTTCCAATACACATCAAACCTGAAATTGAATCAATAAAGCTCTGGCAGAAATTTTTGCGTGTAATAAGTGGGAAAACCATCCTCCAATACATAATTTTATGTCTATACCTTTTGCAGTGGTTAAACTGAAAAGAACTGTGATTCATACATTGTAAATAACACATTTTACTTGCTATGAACAGGTAAATGTCAACTATGACAGCTTTCCCATACTCTAAAAAAATGTTTTGAAAGAAATCAACCATAAAAAACATTTAATAGCAGATTTTTAATGATTTGAAAATTAAGATTACCTGGATTTCAGCTACCATACTCTTGTTTCACAAGTGAAGGAGACAGAGGAGATGATCAAGAAACAAATTCCAAAAAGAACAGGAATTAATGAATCTGTAAAAACTGTATTAAAGTACACTTGCAAGTGAATTTCTTATTTACTGTAATTTGATCTTATTATCGCCCTCTTACATTAAATTAAAACTCATAAAGAACATTGTAAAGGCCAAGGACTGTAATGGTACAGCATTCTTTTATTTTGCAGACAAATTTCCAGATTCAAGAGAAACAAACAAACAAAAATTTTTGGTTCCACAGAATATGGAGCGATATGAAAGGACACAGTTCAATGACATATTAAGCCACTTTTTTGGGAGGGGAACCTTGGAATGCCTCTCAGATGACTGCAAGTAAGTTTCTTAGAATCCCAAAGCTAATAATTACAAAGAACTCATCACAATCATTAAAAATATATTTTCTGCAATCACACACACACTTTCCCCAAGCAACTAAGGATTTGTCAGTGCTGAACAAGCTGAATGCTTCCATCAGAAAATTCCTTGCATAAAAAGATGCTAAGAAGGGAAGTGACGCTTGAGAATGTTATCAGACTACAGTTAGAACCTCATGCATGTGTGAAGGCAATCAAATAATATCAAACTGTTTTTGTACTTATTGCATTTTAATAAGTACACTACACACTTTTCATGATTAGAAAAGCATTCTAACAGTTTCTGGCTAGCTAACATCCCATATTGCCTAGATAATTTTATATTATACTTGAGTAAAAGTAAAATTATCTGTTAAATATGATCTAATATACTTTTAATGTCATTTTGAAATCCTGTGTATGTGTTGGGAGAGGGAATGTTGAATGATACCTGAAGGAAACAAAAAAATTTTAATTTATACACCAATTAGCATAGCACGTAACTTACCAATTAGTCAAAGTAATTAGCAAAGCAAGACTTGGAATTTGTTTCAGTTCATTACTTTAATCAAAGAAAATCAACATGTTCATTTTCAAAATATTGAATTCCCTTTCTACCAGTTTTTTTTTAAATTTTAATTAAAGTAAAAAGTAAATACAGCACTATGCTAATTGTTTTGGCCTCCTCAGTGATTGGCAGCCAGAGGGCGCACCTCACATAGAGTTAGTTGCGTTACAGAACGAAAAGGGAGAGGCATGCCAAAAATGTCGGCCGTATTACCGGTAATTGATATAATTGCATCGTATCTGTCAGGTGGCAGAAACTAGCATGATGTATCAATTTACATGCCAGGTGGCAGAATATATGTATCATGTACATGCCACGAGGTATAACGCTTGTAAACATGCAAGGTGGCACATGGCTTGTAAATAAATGTACACTTAAATATCTTAGTGTAATAGATCAAGGAACACGAGTCAACAACCTTTTGATCATTTGGATACATACACTAATTTTGATTAATAAAAGAAAATAGAGCGAAATAGTTAACCACAATAAACATGTCAATTAGAATGACAATGCCATGTCATTTGAAAATAAGCATGTCAATCAGAAGTAATAACTGATAAGTAACTCTACCAAAATGAAATTAATAGCCCTTCTGGGCAAATCACAACTTAGGGCTAAAAATTATCACAGCTAAACAGGCAAATGCTGATAAGTTTTTTTTATATATATATATATATATATATATATATATATATATATATAAATGTATTTTACAAATAAGATGGAAAAAACTAAAGTTTAAAGTTTATCCCATGAAAACTGCCTGAATTTGATTTTCCAGAATATTTTTGAAAACTTGGTTAGCTCTGCTACTCCACTGTACATAATGCCATTATTTTAAAATCAAAGAAAAATACAGATACATAAAAATTTATAGTTGATCATATTAACCGTTTGACTGCTACGGGGTGCAAAAGCACTGCGTTCATTTGTCTCGAATACTGCGACACAGTTAGTTATTTTAGAATGCACTCATGTTACAAAGTACGCGTAAGGTCAGACTACGTACGTTCACACCCACAGAGCAACAAAGACACACTGAAACTCGCAGCACAAAAGCGCTGTGTCGCGGTTTTTGAGACAAATGAATGCAGCACTTTTTGTGCCGCATAGCAGTCAAACGGTTAAAGCAATTAAATTAGTGAAATAAAATTCCTGCTTGTAAAACATAAAAACAAATAAAATGAGATGACTAACTACCTCTCTCTTCACCTTCAACTAATGCTGTTTCATCGTCTGCTTTTTTCTGAACTTCTCCATTAATACTTGACTTAGGATAAACTGGAGGTGGAGGTTTTTTAGGTATAGCAGCAGTTTTTGATCGTAAATGGCCTGGGCCTCTGACCAGTTCTAGTTTGATTTGGGGTGCTTTTAAAGCATTTTTAAATATTTCTTGAGCAGTTTGAAAGCTTACATTTTGAAGACTTTTACCATTAATTTCTGTAATTCGATCACCCACATGAAACCTGCCATCTCTATCAATTCTTCCACCTGCTTCAATACCTTGTATAACAAGTCCAGTATCTCTGAAATATTTTCAATTTCTATAATTTAGTAAACTATATTACCAAATAAAACAGGTATAATAACAAATTATAACCTTGGTATCTTTATGTAACTAAAAACTATATAAAAATATGAAGGTTACAATTTTCCAATTAATAATAGGAATAAAAAACAGTACACTAATTCTTAGGAAATTTTAATTTTTAATTTTTACAGAAACTATACTGCCTTTAATTTATGAACACGTCTTCTATAAGCATTCCAGTTATTAAAGGAAGTAAATCTATCTTGATTATTAACTAAATCTTAATAAAACTATAATAAAAAACTTTGAATAATTTTAACAGATTATAAACTAAGCTTAATATAAAACACTTAACAGTGCATAAACCATTAATTATACATGAAAACTTAATACAACTTCTGCTAATCAGCTGAATAAGAAACAGGTACATAACTGAGAATTTCATTTGATTTATTTCACAGAATTTTGTAAGTAACATGTTGTCAAAATAGCAATCCTGAGCTTCAGTCGGTCAAAATTAGTCAAAATTTAAACAGCAAACTATGACTGTTAAATGCTACAATACTGCAGGGAATGCTTGCATCTTACTAATATATTTACTTAACTGGTACCTAAGCAAAGAGCAAAATAACAAATAAAACAGGTAATTAATGAAAAGTAGTTCTTGTAATACATAAACTGAAATATTTCTACTGACTTTAAAATTCTTTCAGACAAAAATAAATATTACCTTCCTTTGCTATCATAATCTGGTACAACATGGATTCCAAGAGGTCCAGTTTCATTTCTCAAAATTATAGTCTTTTCTCTAGAAAAAAGAGGAGGAGAATTAGTCTATACAAAGAAAGAAACAAAAAGAAAGAAAAACTTAAACTCTATACATGACACTTTCATTAAATTTCAAACTGATCACTATTTGATGAGTAATCATAAAAAAAAAAGGTTATTTAACATAAAATGACTTCATATAATCCACTTTAATAATAATTACACAATTAATACTGTAAAAATAATGGTTTTTTATATAAAATTTAAAGTATTACAATCACAAAATATAGAAAATTCTGAATGGCTTGGTTTGGTTTATCTGATTATGGGCAAAGCACGAAAAGGTTATCTACCCAAAGGGGGTGCTTTTGTGGAGGAACTTCTATGGGAAACTCATTCATACCTATATTAGACATGGCAAAAACCATGAAAACACAAGCACAGCCAGCACGTTTGTCTGGAATCAAACCCAGGTTTAAAGACCATTGTTCACTGATATTTCTGCTTGGACATTGGTGCATCTGAAAATGCCAAATAATACTCTAATATCATTAATAAAATTTGAGATACCTAGTTTTGGCCAACAAATATTGTTAGTTGTCACTAAATTGCAGTATTTGAAGGCCGCTCAAACTTCACTTTTTGCTGCTTTTTTCTTTCAGAAACGGATGCTAGAAAACATTCAGCGATTGTTTATTATTTAATTATATTATTGAATTAGTAATTAGATTGATCATTAATTAGATTTACTGAATCTGGTGCAAAGACTGTGAAGTTGGACTTTGCCTTGAAACCTGTTTTGAACTCCAAATTGCATTTCTAAGGTAGTTTTTCCTCAGTGCTTTATATTTTCTTAAATTTTATACATTTTGTTTTTTTATATTATGCAATAAATAGAAATTTACTGTAATTTGACTGAAATTTATGAAAAAAAAATTTTTTTTGGTAATTACATCTGAAATTGATTTTTCTGGCAACTTTAGCTTCTCATGATAAAAATCTATATAAAAAGTATTTTCTAGAAAGAAAAAAAGTCATTTTTCAATTCTCCAATATATATAGACTTAAAATATGCACTAATAATAATTACACAATTTTTGAAGCGATTTGGTCCATTAATTGAGCAGTCAGAGGGTTAAATCTGTAAACATCACCAAGCATAATGTCAACATAAAAGGGTACTATACTCTCTATTATTCAATTACTAACATAAAAAAAAATTTTCAGACATCGCTACATGAGTCATTACTCAAGTTGTCATATGTTGATAAACATGTGGTGAAAGCAAAATATAATAAATATTGGTTCATCATGCTGGCATGCTGCATGATCAGTAGGTTTAAAATCAAAGATGTTATCTATGTGTTTCGGTTTGAGATGCATGCCAAGCACACACTTAGAAACAGATTCAAATTATTGATCATACAGTTTTATCCTAAAATGATTACTTCTTCAATAACAATGTATTTTATTTAGTGCTGAAGTGAAATTACGAATCGGGATTCTCCACATCTTTTATTATGCGCAGAAGGGAGGGGGAGGGAATCAAATAATTAAAACATACCCAAAAAAATTTAATTAAGTAAAATAAAAAAAAATTAGTGGAGGCTTTGAGGTCCGGATTTTAGATCATTCTGGATATTGGATGTCCATATTTTGGACTTTGTACTGTATTATTGACAGTCTGAATTTTAGTTCCATTTACAATATTAGCATTATGCAAGAGTTGCATGATATGGATAAGTCTCAAAATGACACAGTGCAGAAAAAGATTACTGTTTTTAGAGGAGAGAGGTGAAATAAGCATATTAAATTTAAGCATTAAAAACCTATTCCTAATTATAATTTATATTTACATACATTTTTAGTGTACATGTTTCATAGATAAATTAATGTACAGTATAAATATTTACATGCTACCTCAATTTTAGGATTACAGCCAAGCACTGCATCCTAAATGAATAACTAGACTTCTTTCCAAAACCAATTTTTTGGAAAAATTCATCTAGATGGACACAAGCAATAAGATGGGCCACATTTTTTCACCTTCACTCCTAAGACAGCCCCTAAGACTGCATTCAGATGGGGGCATAAAGAGAATAAGAGGTTAAAGTTGAGCTCCATTGTCAAGACAACCAGTCTGTGCTACATCACAAAATCTGGTTTAGGGCTTGATTAAGGTTCCAAGTTTTTAACTTTACGCCGAGTTTGGGATAAGCGTTGACCAATCATAGCAAAGCTAAAACGAACTTTCTGCTTTGTCGCTTTCTGCAGACAATTTCGCTATCACATCAAAGGCGACTTTTTTTTTTTTTTTTTTTTTAAATCACATCACATCTGAATAAGTTGTAATTGTATCCGAATGAAATAACGAGTTGATCTTGCAAGAAATCTATGATGATGACATGGATTTTTTAATGAGTTTACAAAATAAATTGAAAAATATGGATGAAACTTGTAAAGCAAAAGCTAAGCTCAGGATCATGTACGCTGTGTATGATCCCGTAAATGACGGATCCCATCCATTATTTTTCATTTTATTATGAAAATTCTTTAAAAAATATCTGTAGACCATTTCGCTCTTTTTCTTTTATAACTTCTTCCTTTGTCTCTTGGCTAATAAGAAGGGCAGATAAAACAGCATTCTGTTGAGATAGTAAAACTTTGTTGTGAGCTGAAAAAGCCATGACACAAAATAACAAAAACCAGCAGAGTGAACAAGGGAAATCAATCAAGCGGGAAAACAGAGCACGAAAGGTGTAGACACATCCACGCATGCGCAAATTCAGCTTCTCTCATTGGCCACAGCTTAGACCCCGCCTCGCAGGTGTGAATGGAACTCCCGTATTTTATGACCTTATGATTATGCCTCTATGTCCTTTATGCCACCGTCTGAACGCAGCCTTAGCAAAGACAATTTTTTAAAAAAAAATTTAAGAGGGGAAATTACTGACATTAATATTACTGATAGAGCTAGACCAAAAACTGATTGATTTCCTCCTCCAGTATAAATAACAGTATACCCAGTATTAGCATATACATAAAAGTGTATTTTTATCTAACTCTGTGAAGGTAGGACCTATATAGTGAATTTATGCTTGAAATCAAAGAGACCATATAACTCCAGATTGATAAGAATCCTTCATTTTACCAGGTTTCGGTTTCAAGGTGTCACTCACTGATAATCTAATCTCACTTTTTACAGAAAGATAAGAAAATATCAAACAACTGACAAAAGATACAGTGAAAAAGAGATAAGAAAAAAATTATTAATATTAGATATCTATAAAGTTGATTTTTTTAAGTGGCTATCTTAAAAAAGATGGATAAAGCTAGCAGAGGTTTCATTTCGATCCTTTAAATTTGTTCATTGACTGATTTAAAATTATTTATATTTTTTAAGTAATTACAACAAATTTAATTAATAAATTTGGCAATAACTGGCAATTTTAAATGCAGTTTAAACATAATTTAAAAAGCAAAAAAAAAAAAAAAAAAGGGGGGGGGGGGGGCTTCTTTTTAATTTAATATTGGGTTTTTATATTTGTGTGCACCTATACATATGAATACAAAGGTTATTAAAGAATCACACAGTGAAATGAATGCTATTATTTATTACAATAAACAAACCTTCCATCACTCAAGCTAGATGTGTCACTAGCATCATCAGCTTCACAACTTTCAGGTGGTGCCAGTTTAAGAGAAAAATTTTCATTGAAATCCTACAAAATAAGAATGTCATATAAAGTAACTACTATATTTAAAACAACACAAATTTTATACTATGATAATGGCTTCTAATTTAAAAAAGTACTACCTTCATTAACTGCCTATCGGCAGCTTCAACCCAGCGGTATGTTTCTGCATTGTTACCCAAGATAGATAAACGTCCTGATCCTCGGAAGAAAGTCAATGATGACATTTTTATATCACCATTTATTTCCAAACTGCCCTGGGAGGAAGCATTTTCCTTTGCTTCATTTTCCTAAAATGAAATTAAAATTTCCATATACAGCAAAGTAAGATGCACAAACAGAAAAATTCTGAATATTGCTCAACATTTATTATATTTACTTGAATCAAATAACAAAACTACTCTAACCAACCAAGCTATTGTATTGAGTTGACACAAGCAAGGAGGTAGTGCATTTAATTTATTTAACATTCTAGGCTATGTGCAAATAATTTATAAGGTAAGGTTCTCATCACAGGGGAGGGGGAAGATAAAAAAAGCAAACGGTTGATACACAAAGGTCTGCTAAGTTTCTGTTTATTAGTAAGGTGTTTAAGTTCTCAGGGCATTTTTCTTTTTGGTGCAGGGTGAAATTCCTGTGCAAAGCAAACAGCCTTGTTACTTCTACTGACCACAGCTGGCCATTCCAAGCAGGTTGCTCTCAAGTTAGGTAGCAGAAAAATCTGGCTAGCAGCTATTGAATCTCTCCACAGAGATAAAAATGCTCTTGATAGAGAGAACAAAAAATGGCTTTTAACAAAGATTAAAAAAAAAAAAAAAAAAAAAAAAAAAAAAAAAAGATAAAGTTTATCTCTTCCCATTAAAAACTGTGTTCTTTGTTTTTGTCCAATATTTCCTTGGTGTTTCGGGACAACTTTTGCATTCTCATCTGTCAGGAAATTTTGAGACCATCTCTTGAATGAGAGTGCCCTGATTGTTTGTGGGTATAATGTTACAGGCTAGATAAAATTTTCATAAGAATTCTCTGGCTCTAACTTGGTATTCAATTCAGGTTGATCAACGATGGGCTGTTGATGCATTATAATAATCCTATAAACAATAATTTTGAATCAAGTACTCCCACATTCCAGTTTTCTCGGGAACGAAACAATGTTCTTCAGACCACCGCGATGGACATGAAGACTGAAGAACAGTATGTGATTACAGGTAATGTTCAGCTTTCTCGAGAATTGCTAAGTGGTTGTTAGAAAATACCTGAAGACATTACATACATACATACATACATTCCAAGAACACTTTTCATTATTTATGCAAGTACACATAGGCAAATTTGAAATATGTTCCAACAATTCAGATAGTATATTAGAAGAAAAGGATATAAATAAGGGGGGAACTTTTAAAATATGATCAAGAAAACTTTCTCTTGTGACATTTTTGTAAATATCTAGTATCTGATGACTGTTCGGTGATCAACGAGGCACTCTTAGCACAATTTGTCTCTTCCTCCAGAGAGGTTGCTAGGGTTTTAAATTAGTTGAATGTTTGCTGCAGACTAGCAAGGTGCTTGCAAGTTGTATGCTGTAGTAGCGATACACTGCTCTGAGTTCAATTTAATGTTTTAATGTTAGGTTAATAAATATTTTGTTTTCGTTTTATGAAATGTTGCCTCTTAAATCTCAAAGCCATGACAAAATAGCCAGTTCTGGAGCCAATTTCTTTGCAATTTAGATGGATAAAACTGTCAAATACTAAAGAAGACACTCTCACACAAACATTGTACAAACAAAAAATAATCTAAAAATTATTTTAAAAAATCACAGCTACATTTTACTGTTGTTTATGAATGTTACTGATTTTGATAACGATTACACTGGATTCCTTCCATAGTCAATCTGATTAAATGGAATACATCACAAAGCTTTTTGGGTGTATAACATAGCTGCCTTATTACCTGAATTGTGAATTTGAAATTAAAAAAAAAAAAGTACCTCTAACTAAGAATTGGCGGGGAGGGGGGAACTGTTGAACAGACAAAAACAAATTTTACTGGAGGGAAGTCAAAGTACTCTTAAGAGCTGTTGCCATAGGAATTTGAATGCATTTAATCAAGTACTTGTCACTGATTTTGAGCAATTCATTGTCATCTTGAGAAATGTACATTCATTCCCCCCCCTATTCTTTGACATCCAAGCCAATTTAAATTCATTGTCTTCATTTCCTAGCACACTTCATATTGAAAGAACATTTCTGACGAAATTTCAACATAACAATCACATGGGAATCAACTCACTATCAATCAGAAGCTCAACTTAATATTTCTAATTTAAAGTTGATGGAATTTTGCCTATACATACTAAATGCATGCTTTTGGAACTTCCTTCTGTTTGCATTTATTTTTCATTTTGTTTGGTTCATAATGATTATAATTAATTGTGCTAGCAGCCCAATAAATGATAGCTAGAAAAAGTCAGTTTGAGAGGATAGGTTTTGACTACCTTTGGAAAGAAAACATCATTATCATTCTCTCACATGGATGATCTTCGAACATTTTGTTATGTGAATAATATTGCTATTACTTCAGAAAATAAATTTTAAATGCTATTGCACTAATACACAGACAAATTTAACCAATTGTTAGTACCAAACATTAATATATACGCAGACTTAGAATCAAAGACAATCAAACTGCTATAAACGATTCTGACAGCTAAGGAATTCCTCTACATTAGTGATTCTAGTAAAAGAAATTACTTCAAAACTGAATAGGAAGCTCCTTCTACTCTTTCAGAGCCATTTCGTTTTACTCAAGTTCATTTCAACGTAAACACAAATTCCAAGATTAGGACACATTTATTGATGATTATTTGGTTACAGCCAATAAAGATACAGAACAGTCATTCAAAACAGTTTTTTTTTTTTTTTTTTTTTTTTTTTTTTTTTTAAAGCTTTTTACTTCCTTGTACGAAGTAAAAAGGAAGTATCGTAATCGCGAAAAGTTTCAGGTAGCATATTTCAACGAAAATATCCATTTTGTCCGCTATCGAATGCAATTTAAGGATGCTTTTGCGTGATATCTGTACGAAAAAACAGAATAAAAGACTCGTTTCCTCCAAAAAAATTATAAAACTGCTTTAAAATTAATTCTGAAGAGAATTTTTCGTGGCGTCTGTACGAACATATGTACATACATGCGTACGTATCTCGCATAACTCAAAAACGAGTAGCCTCAGAACGTTGAAATTTTATATATAGGACTGCTATAACATGTAGATGTGCACCTCGTATTTTGGTTGCAATCGGCCACACCAAACGTATATAAAAATATTCATATATATATCCACTCTGTTACCCGACTCAATGATCTCAGTTTCTTTACTCTTATATGTTTGTAAATTGTACATTTTTTGCTTTAAAAATGATTATGTTATTTTTATCTTCCGGTTAAGGTTTTTATGCCTTTAGTAAATCTGTATGCAATATTTTTAGAATTATCAACAATTTTAAAGTTTACATTTGAAACAGCAGACTAGCAGATTTGGTGCCAATCTAGAGAAACTTAGCTTCGCAAAACAAAGATAACGCCTTCATTTATTACTTAAATCATGATTAATCCTTTCTGGAATTTTTTCGAGGAAATAAGCGTTTAAGATTTACTTCGTAATTTTTAATATAGATATGTTGAGTTTTTATGTATTTTTGCCTTCTCGTGAAGTGAGAACTGAATTATTAAATGAGAAATACTCAATCGTCAGTGAAAAACTGTTTCTTTTTTGTTTTGTTTGCTTAATTTCTTTTATATATCATTCTAGCTTTATTATAGTATTTGAATAGAACATGTGGCAACGATTAGATAATTCTATTCTTTAAATGATTTAAAAATTTTGTGCATTACGAATTATAATATGAACGAAATATAATATTGTTAAGTGAATCTAGCGCCAGAGTGTCGCTATGGTAAACAAATACTAGAGTGAATTTTAAAGAATGCATTTATTCTATTGTGGTTTATGTGCTGCCGGCAAAGTAGATTTAATTCAATCCAATAATTTAAATGAAATGCAAGAAAAAATGCGTATAATTTAATATTCCGCACAAGGAAGTAGTGGTGTACACATCAGATTTTTTTTTTTTTTAACTCTGGGGTTGATTGCTTACACACATCATTAAAAATCAAAATTCAAAAAATCACTTTAAAAAAAATGAGATGCACAGAAATAAAAAAATAAACATTTTTTTTTTCTATACCTATTATAATAATTCTCAATTTCCTGTATAGCATATTTGTTTGATAAAAAGAAACTTAAATTGGAAATACAATTAGTTCATCTCTAAAAGAATTGCCATAAGTACTTAATTCCATAAATAGAAAAAAATTAAGCAGGCTTTTAATTTAAAAAGTTGAAACTAATGAGCTACTATAATAAAAGCATGAAATTTTCCAGGGAAGGTACACTTCAGTGATTAACCAAAGTACCCATTTACTTGTAAATGAAAACCACTAGAGCATTACTGACATAAGCAGCACTTTTAACAGGGTGATCTTGGAAAGGTTTCAAATATTTTATGATGCTCTACAACAATCTAATATAAGCAAGTATGTGAGAATCCAAACACAGTTGCAAAGTGACTGTAACTAGCCAATGTTTAGAGAATTTTGCTTGTTGTAACTGTATAAAACCTCTAGACTTGCATTACTAATTACCTCTAGAACAGTAACCTATAAATTCTACTGATGCAAAGAACCTTTAGACATATAAGTCTTTTTTTAAGAGGAACTCCCTCCTGCCCTTGTCAAAATATATCTTAAAATAATATTTAAAGCACATCAATATTTTACATGTACTTTATGTAAAGATAAAGAAGATTGTATTCTTTATTAAAATATTTTAACAAAAAATTAATGCAATTTTGTCATTAATAGCATTAACTCATGCCCTGGATGTCACCTAGACTTGAGATGCTCTTGCTTAAATTTAGATTTTAACATCAAATCTATGTGTCAGCAAGTTGTTTGCTTTTCTTTATTGACAAGCTTAAGGTCTACGCCAAAGCCAGTTACAATAGGATAACATTGACAGTGTGAATTTTAATGAGACCTAGCATATACTTACTGCACAAATCCCTGAATTCACGGCTTACTTTCAATGTTGTTTTCCCATCAAAAATTTAAAAACAGAAAATACACCATTTTACAACATAAAAAGGGTGGAAGGAGGGGGGGGAACAATAAAAGCTTCAAAGAATCTTTGTTAAATGCAGCAAAGTTCTTACTTAATAATGAGAAAGACTGATGAGAATCTTTTAGTGGTGGAAGAACATAATATTAGTCTTACTTTTACCATCAATTACTTTGGTGTGAGCCTCACTTTAAACTCATCCTTAACTTACAATCAATACTATTCATTCAAATGCATTGAAATCTGTGCTTAATTGCATTCGAATGCTGTCTAATCGCTTAGTAACATAGCTGTATTTATGCCACTCATGACATTTAAATCATAATGTAAAATCACCTAAAGACTGAGCAGCCTTCTGACAGGTAAACTGATCACAGTTTACTGCAGGTAGTACACCCTGACTCTCTGGACATCATGATTTGGCACATTTGTAAAGTACACAGCTCTTATATCAAGTTCTATTTTTTCTGTCAAATATAGTAACTTTTTTGGAAGGGTCCAAATATTCCTATCTTACATCTTACAGAACTCTTTTCCATACAAGAAACCAAATACAGTCAAAAGTCCGGATGACATAATTTCTTGTTTAGTTACAAAGTTCCGCTGTTCAAGTCCTATAATTGCTGTGTTGAGAATACCGACTAATTTGTCAATCGAAATGTTTTCGTTTTCAATAACCTCTGGGTCACTTTCTTCACTATCCGAAGCGAATTATAATGACGAGGAACTTGATTTAAATCATATCAAAGACGGAGTACATCGAGATAAAATACTACACTTAGTACGGAATTATAAACCAAATAAAATAAAAACATCTGCCCTGAAGATAAGGATAGTGCTGACAGATTAACTTCCAATCCGCCGCGTGAAATTGATAAACAGATTTCAGATTTCAAAACATACTTTCGCTTTGTAGATACAAATTACATATTAGTAAATATATATCGGAAATTTTATTTGACATAATCTTTCTAATCTATCATAATCTAATAATGACGTTTCTGCCCCCCCCCCTCTGCCGCAGAGCAGCGTGAAATTGATAAACAGATTTCGGATTTCAAAACATACTTTCGCTTTGTAGTAAATATATATCGGAAATTCTATTTGACATAATCGAAAGTTCAAGCTTACTTTTATAAAATTGCTGTAACAGTCTGCAAAAAATAATAAGCCGGATCCAATTCGAAGATTAAGGAACAACGCAATCTGCAACATTAACTGAATTAGATAACTTTAGCTTAGCGTATAACTCCGTTACACAATAAACGCGCATGCGTACAAACATATTCGCAGCCGTAAGGGTCTTATGCGCTCTCGTAAACGCCTGTGCGCATGCGTGAACGCAACGCATGCGCAGAAAGTTTGTAGCTTTGAGGTCCGGATTATGGGTGTCCGAATTAACGACTTTTGACTGTACATAAAAAAAAAAAAAAAAATTTTGCTCCAATCCTCTCTTCTAGACTCTATAGTAGATTCTCAAGCCCACTCATGTCGTAATCCTTGCTCTGAGAAAAATGCATTTAAATGTTTGGCATGCACTTGGTTTCAAGGAAGGGGAAATTTTATGACTTCTGTCTAGTAATCCTTACCTTGTTGAACAACATAATTTTTCTTTTAAAACGAAATATGTAAATAAGTGAAAACTAAGAGGAAGATTTGAAACAGATTCATGAATTTAATATGCAACCAAACACACATTTAAAATATACCCCAGATTTTTCAAAATCAAATGCCATAACTTCTTTTAACCAAACTTTCTCATCTTATCTGCCTTCATTTTTCACAAAGCAAACAAAATACATGTGTAGCACCACCATTCTTTACTCTAGAAACTCTGTAGCATACATCTCAACCTGCAACAAAACAGCATGTTTCCATCACTGTCATGGCTAAAAGTAAAATATGGCTAATGCTGCATCAACATTAACTCTAGCAGGTTTAGTTTATTTAATTATGGCAAAGCACACTAGGGCTTCATGGAGGACTTTCTAAGGGAAATTGGCTCGTATATACATTACACATGGAAAAAAAACCCGCGCCCATGCAGCCAGCCCATTCGCAGGATTCGAACCTCGGACCGAACTACCAGTGTTCAGCGACTTTACTGCTCGGCCGCTGGTAGGCCCTAGCAGGTTTAATTTGTTTGCAAGGTCACAAAATTCTATTATTAATTTATTTATTTATGGATATGTTACAATTACCTTATAAATTCTTTAAACAAAACAAAAATAAGAAGCACTAGCCATTTATATTACAGATAATTATGCTGAATAATTATATATAATTTAAAAATCATAAAATAATTCATGAATTAAAAGGAGAAAAATAATTTGTCATATAGTTTAATGCAAACAAAGATTAAATAATTATCTTTACAAAATTCATCTACAATTTTATATAACATATCACAAAAGCATGAGGCACCCTTTTACATTTTGAATTTCCAATGGCAAGCGAGATATTACATAAAAAAGAAAGACACAACTATAGTTAAAAGTTTCACTTATATGGATATAATGAAATTTAAGCTAACTTCTTGGTTATCAAGTGAATCTTGAGCTTCACTAGTATTAATAACAACTGCTGTTGACCATCTTTTACTGGGGTCTGTTGAAGGAGATAATGGAAAAAGGCAATTCAAAGCTGGTTCACTGCCTCTTCTTACCTGCAGAGGAGTCACCCCTATGGAGTAAAAGAGTAAAATATTAAGTCACAGTATTTACCATGACATTCCAAGATTTTTCCATCTTGGTCATCAATTAATAATGAATTCAGAAGCACTACTCAATAACATGTAAATATTTATCTGCTTACATTATTTTTTAAGCGTAAAAATTCGGCAGGTAGAATGCTATAAAAGTCCAGAATATTTAAATCACGGAATCTAGATTTGCGTAAGTCAGAAGCAGGGTTGTGGAGTCGGAATTGGGCAGATTTTGGGGTAAAAGGAGTCAGAGCTGGAGTCACTAAAAACAAGTTGACTCAGAATCCGGTTTTTTGTTAGACAGTTTGAATTTCAAATGAAATTTAAATGAATTGAAAAAAAATAATATTGGCAACCTCAGTTATTATTTTTATTTATGGACTATATACATTAATAAATACTGTGATTTCTGGAAGAAACAACATGGCATTTACATGTTCAAAACTTAAATTTTCAGCGGGTGCAGCGTTTCTACCCATGCGGCGTTTAGGTGCACTAAAAATAAAATATTTCCTATGATGGTCATTGTACATAGTTTGAATAACTTTGTCATTGTACATAGTTTGGATGGCCTTGTCATAGTACATAGACTGGAGCTGTTCCCACACAAAAGACCACTCAGTTGCTTTTTGCGAACATTATTTCCCTTGAACCAACCTACATGCCTTATTCACTCTAAACCGGATCTCAGAACAATAACATTCTTTCTCCTTTCAAATCAGCATTCTCATCATTTTGAATAGTCTCTTTCCTCTGCCATTCGATGAATCATCCAGGACCCATCCTCTCCCCACCCCTGCCTTTTCTGCAAACTCCACCTGCCTCCCAATAAGGAACTCTGATACTCTGATGACAATGTATTTCCCCTTCAGCATGAATCCATTTTTATTGGCATTCTGCCAAATACAGATCCCATCAGTTTGGGTACAAGTACTTGTTGAATAGTTTTTAAGTAAGAAGGGAGCGGAAAATTTTTGAAAATGGCACCTAAACGGCACGGATGCTATACTGCTGGTTTTAAGCTTAATGTATTTTCACGTGCTGAACAAATTGGAAATAGAGCAGCAGCTCGAGAGTATGAAGTGAACAACAGATATATGCGACATTGGAGAACTGAAAAAGAAGAATTTAAAAATATGTCACAACAGAAACAAGCCAAAAGAAGTGGTACTGTAAGTGGCCGAATCTAGAGGATGACAAATGGATAAAGGAACAACGAGAAAAGGGAATGGCAATTCCCACTGTAAAAATTCGCTTAGAAGCAAAATTTATAGCAGAACATAAATGATTTCAAAGGAGGGCATTGCTGGTGTAGCAGATTTATGAAAAGAAAAAATATTTCTGTACGTACTAGAACAACAGTCAGGCAACAATTACCTATGGACTGGCAGGATAAAAAAGGCATCTTTTCTAAAATATGTGACAGATATGATTTAAAAAAAAAAAAAAAACTTTGGTCACAGATAATAAATATGGATGAAACAACGCTGCTCATTTTCGACTCTCCTGCAAACAGAACTGTTGATGAAACTGCTGCAAAAACTGTATCTGTGCTTACGATGGGGCATGAAAGAATGTCATTTACATGTGTGTTAGCTTTGTGCCGCAAATGGTGACAAGCTAAAGCCGATGATCATTTTTAAATGAAAGACTATTTCGAAGGGAGATTTTCCTAATGACATAATTATTTGTGCAAACGAGAGCGGCTGGAAGTGCAAAACAATCATGCATGAGTGGCTACAAAAAGTTTGGCAGTGTCGTAAGGGATCTTTTTTCCAACCTTTTTATTGATAATGGATTCCATGCGTGCTCATTTACTTGAGTCAGTGAAAACCAGATGTCAAAAATTGTCCACAACCGTAGCAATAATTCCTGGTAGTTTGACAAAAATCTTAGAACCATTAGATTTGTCAGGTAATAAATCCTTCAAAGCTGAAGTCCGAAGGCGGTGGGAGTGTTGGATGAGTGAAGGATTGCATACGTATACCAAAAGCGGTAAAATGCGTAGAGCATCCTTATGAAGAAGTTGCAAAGTGGGTTGGATGTGCATGGAAATGAGTAAAAACATCGTCAATAATAGCAGGGTTCAAAGAAGCTGAAATTATATCCTTAGATAAAGAGACTGTAAACCAAGAGGATGAATGTGACGATCTGGAAGACTTAGATCAGGATTTACTAAATCTTTTTAATTCAGATAGTGAAGAATCAGATTTTCATCGCTTCATATGATGCATTTAAAATTTCCTTTTGTCATCCAAATTTAATATTTCATTGTTGCAACATTTTTTATAATATAGTCTGAGTATTACAAATATGGACTTCTTCAGTGGGTAAATGTAAGTATATTCGTGAATGTAAATATATTTTCAACATTTCTTACCTTTATTTTTGAGTTATGGTTTAATTTCATGCATTTTTCTTAACTGATATGTCATATATCAGAGCATAGGTTGAGATTTTGCATCTATACGGCCTATGACAATGTCACGCGCAATTTAATCTATTGCGACGTTTATGCTGATGCAGCGTTTCTCTGTAATTTTAATTATTTTCCCGCCATTTTTCTCGAATGCGGCCTTTCTTCCGGAAATTACGGTAGTTATTTTCTATTTTATTGACATATTAATAAATAAATATAAGGGAGGAGGATGGATGTGATATTTGCCATTAGTGATTAAACTGATTCATTTAGTTACAAATCTCACTGGTAAATTTAGGTAAGCAGCAATAGCAGCAAGAACTCCCAAAATTGATGCCATTCTTAGGAAGCAAGCAGAAAAAGGAGCAATTATTGATCAAGCAACACGATAAGGAAGTACATATTTGACGATAAAGAGGTTGTTAGAATTAAGAACTTTTTTACAAGATGTAGACAATTGTAATGTTTCAATAACACAAAAACTGTGGGACGATCTTGCACAATTGGAAACTCTTCTTTCTACACCGTATTTAGCCACAAAAAGGCTGCAATCTGAAGAATTGACAAGAGGCAAAAATGGAAGAATGTGAAGTTTGTTCTTTCTGAAATGGAGGGTTTATTGGAGAAGGAATCATTTCTTCAATGAAGAAAAGAGAAACTAGCTTGCCAGACAATGAGATCTTGCTGGGTTTAATATATGTAGATCTGAGACACCGAATTTTCTTGGATGATAAACAAATTAAAAGAAAAAGAAAGCCATCTATTAAATTTCATTAAGAATGAAATTATTCTCAGAACAATTGGAGAATTTGAATCAGGACAGTCAAACTGCAGGCATTGCAACTGAGTCTCTATCATCCTCTTCCAGTGATGAATTAGATTTTGAGAAATATTTTTGGATAACATTGAAAAGGCTAAGGCAAAGTGAATGAATATAAAGAGCCAAGAGCCTAAAAGTACAAACAAGATTTCTACATGGCCTTTGAAGAAATAGAAAAATATTATTGTGCTTGCAAGACATCTTTTAGAACTTATAAAAATCTATCCTGAAAAGTTAAAAGTAGTAGCCCTAACAGTATCAAGTTAGTATGGAAAGACTCTTCTCAGCTCTGAAGTTTATCAAATCGGATCTATGGCTCTCCAACAAAGATCTTGCCTAAGCTATACTGTTTCTTAAAAATAGTTAATGCCAGTTTTTCCATTTCATAATAAATGCTAATTAATATAAATAATTTGCTATGCCATAAACTTTTTTCCTTGTAGTATCTATTACCTCTTTTATATTTAAAAAATAAGCTATAACCCATGCGTATATGTTTATATTGTTACAAAATGTAAAGGAGTGGTAAGATAGCTTCCCCGCAAAGGAGTTTTAGGGTTGCCATAAAATGGCAAGGGAAGGCAGGGTTGCCACATTTGGCGATAAATAGCCCATTTTCCAACATACCATGGACAGATGGAGAACCTTCTGGAACGAGTTCTTACCGGTTTAGCCCAGAATGTTCTCGAACACAAGTCGAAAGCTATATAAGCCCTGCTGGTTCGCAGTCAGTTAGTGTGCTTCTCTCATCGAGTGAGTGTGTGCTCCGTCTAGCAAGCTTGATAGTTAGTATCGAGTTGGTGTCTCGTCTAGCAAGTCAATCCCTGCGGAGTCGATCGAGTTGACAGCCGGGCAGCAAGTGTCGAGTGGGTGAAGATTCTTGCAATACTGGAGCACACTGATTAAGCTGCACATCAACTTCTCTCATCTCTGCATCACATGCATTTTCAGATGGTTCAACACTCGCTAACTGCGAGTTCATATTTTCACTATCAGTTTCTACCAGCTTTACTGTTGCATTTTCGCATTCTTCCGTCTCTACTTCAGGCACATGAGAATCAAAAACTTCATGTTTTCGTTTTTTTCCTTTAATCCCATTAGATTTTTCATCCATCATGTCTTGATCTTTCTCAGGCAATTCATTAGCTACTTCCTTCATTTCTTCATCCTTTGCTTCTGCAGAAAACATTTCTCTCATTTCCACATTGTCTTTTATGCCTCCAATATCTTCTGTAAACTCCACTTTCACGTGTTGGAGTTGCTCTCGCACCTTTTCTTGGCCGACATTTATTTCTTTTCGCCGGGCTTTCATCTCTTTCAATGCAGCTTTGATCTCAGCTGTCATCTCTTTATATCCAGATTTTATCTCATCATAATCCGTCTTTTATCTCAGCACATCTGGCTTTTTTATCTCTTCCTGTCCAGCTTTCAACTCGGCTAAAAGGTCCATCAAAGTCTTCATTTCTTCCGCCATGGCTTTTCTCTGCAGGCAGGTCACTCACAAACCACATTTCTGACACCAGTTGTTACGTTATTTTCTTCCTTCACGTTCGTACGGATTTTGTAGATTTGGAGTGAATAACAACGACACTTGATGAAGTATCGAATCGTACGGGGTTCATATATTTGGAGTGAATAACAATGTCACTTGATGAAGTATCGAAACACACTTTGTTTACCAATATTAATAAGCTAGCTTCAAAATCACTTTTACAGTCGTCGAACTGTTATAAACACGC